AGTTCTCCGCCGGGCGTTTGGGCTCGCCCGCGCCTGCCGGGGCCCCCGCGCGCGCCACCGCCGAGGACGAGGAGCGGCTGGAGCGCGAGCACTTCTGGAAGGTCATCAACGCGTTCCGCTACTACGGGTAAGGCGCGCCCTCAGCCCGCCCGCCCGCCCGCAGGCAGCCAGCCTCGTGGCGGCTTCGCGGAGCCCACGGTCACCTGCGCGCAGCCCTAGGGCACGGCTCCCCCACTTTCCCCGGAGCCGCCGGGAAGAGCGTGCACTTTCTGTAGAGAACTGAACGGTGCTGCCGAGCGGCTCTCACCGGATGGGGAAGGGGAGAAGTGGTCCCGGAATCCCAAAATGTGCCGCTTGGTAAGGGAAAGAGAGCAGGCACCGGAGCCGGCTCTATGGTCTCGTAGTCTGCGAGTAAGTGTGGAATTCCTTTCGTGGGCTAGGCATGGTTGGAGGACCCTTAAGTGTGCTCCCCATTCGTAATTCAACTTCCTAACTTTGATGTTTCGTCTAGATAGGTGTTTAGATAGCCTAATCAGAGTGTGTAAATGCAGGTCTATATGGGTTTTAGTGCACTTGGGTTTTCGGGGAAAGAGAATACATTTATTCGGATAAGGGATAGAGTCCACTGGTAGCAATATTCTGAACCTGTAGTTGGAACCAGAGAGACAGACATGACCCCTTGTCCAGGTCAAACCATCGTAGACGGGACCCTCGTGCTATTAGTATTATAGTTATTTGTATATGTAATTCTTTGCCCAGCTGTGACCCCCTTCAAGGGCAGGGAGTGAGTCTTATTTTTATGTCACAGCCCTTGGCAATATTGTTGAAGCTCTATTTTTAACGAATAAAACATTGTAGCAAAAAAAGGAGACTCCTATGCAGCCCTCACCAGTTTTGGCCAGTGGTCACATTACTTTGTTACTTGTTTGAATTGAGTAGGAGCTGATGGTTACATTGTGGCTGGTGTGACAGGAGCCTGAAACCCAAGGTCTCAAGCGTTCCCATTGGGAGCACTACTGCTTAGCTACACTTCTAGACTCAGGACAGACTTGGTTCTTGGATCAAAGATTTTGATGAAATAATTTACTAATTAAACTGAGAAGGAGGCGGTTATATTGTCATAGTGACATATTTTACTATTGAAAAATGTAGAGAGTTTGGGAAACACCTCGGCATATAGTAGACTCAGTTAAACTTATGTAATTGTATTCAGTTTCAATATATTGGAGCCAAGAATTGGTGCTTATTACTAGGTATTGGAGGGGTCCTTAGCCTGAGGGAGAGAGGACCTTTGACCTGGAATGAGTGTTGCAATATAGAAAAGAATGCTGTGTGCATCTTCTAATTGTAACATGGTTCCCCACCCTTTCATCTCTCTTTAGCAGTTGAATGTGGGATTGGGGGAATTTTCATTAAAGTCCCCCCCCCCCCACACACACACACAGGGTTTCTCTGTGTAGTTTTGGTGCCTGTCCTGGATTTTGCTCTGTAGACCAGGCTGGCCTCGACCTCACAGAGATCCCCCTGCCTCTGCCTCCCGAGTGCTGGAATTATAGGTGTGAGTCACCACTGCCTGGCTTAAAGTTTTTCCTTATTTGTATGTACTGTCTGTGTGAAACACTTCAAATATCTGTAAAAGTAGTGTAGCATAAGTATATGGTTTTTAAAATGTCACTTAGAGGTGTGGGGTAATAAGCCAGCATTGGGTTGCTTTCCAGCATTTTTTGACAGTCTGGCCTTGGAGTGTCTATACTGCAGCCACTACTCACATCTGATAGATATAAACATAAATTAATTAAAAGTTAGAATTGAGCTGGGCGGTGGTGGTGCACATTCTTAATCCGAGCACTTGGGAGGCAGAGGCAGGCGGATCTCAGTGAGTTCGAGGCCAGCCTGGGCTACATAGTGAATTCTAGGACAGCCAGGACTGTTACACAGAGAAAGCCTGTCTCAAAAAGTCAAGGAGAAAAAAAAAGTTAGAATTGAGTTGCTCGGTCTCACTAGCCATAATATCAAGTGCTCCACTACCTGTTGCTAGTGTACCATATTAGAGTGTATGGGTAGGAGTCTTTTCTTCATCAGAGAGTTCTGACAGCCAGTCCTGTTCTAGACTCCTAGCACATTTTGGAGGGCTTGCTTTTACCACTGTTATAGTGAATAGAAAACTTAGATTAAAGGTCACAGGGCAAGAAATGCCCTTTGGCTCCTGAGTATACCAAAGAATCTGGTGTTTGAAGACATTCTTTAAAAGCAGAGTGCCATTAAAGTTTCTGCATTTGGCCAATGAGGTCTTTACAGATGTTCAATTTTGCGCACATGAGCAGTATGTGAACCAAGGGGCTGGGATGGCTGCTCTAGAAGGCTACAAAATGACCAAATAGCTAGTGGGCCTTAGCTTATAGTTTCCATGATAGCTAAGTTACCCCAATTGTAGCATCATAGGATCAGACTGCTTTCAGCTCTGGCAAAATACCTGCCCCCATGTTTTCTTTTGTTTGTTTGTTTCTTTTCTAATTTTGTGTGTGTGAGGGCATTTCTAGGGTTTGTACATAAACATAGGCTGTACCTCATGAAGCTACACACCCTCAGCCCAAACCCATTAAGAATTTCCCAAAGTGTCTTGTTTCTGGCAGCTCTGAAGACAGCTAGATCACTGGGGTTAAGGAATGTGCTTCTTTTCATCCAGCTCTGTGCAGTTACCTGAGCTGTCTGAGTAAACACAGCTTACTAATAACTAATAAGTAAATATAGCTCACCTCCCTGCTGCCAAGGTGATATATAGTCTATGAAAAACCAAAAGCAACAGCATGCCTAGCATTGGTTTTTGTCGTTGTTCTTATTGAAATGTGGAGATTTGGAAGTGGTAAAGATGGAAGTTATACCTAGAAGAATTGCTAACAGGGCAGGGGAGGGTTGGGGAGACCTTAGGGGGAGATAGCATGCATCTAGCAGCAATATTCCTCAGTAGCAAGCCCTTCAGTACTCTTTAGCCATAATGGGGCCTGTGCTCTGTGGGGCTGAGAAAAGTCATTTGGAGATGATAACTTCTTATTTGAGTGTTAGCTTTTAAGAAAGGGGACACATGCTACCAAAACTGGTTTGGTGTTTTTGGTTGTGGGTTTTGAGGTGTGGTGTAAGATGACGAGACAGCCATTGCCTAGGAATACTAGGAAGAAAGTTTGAGCTGCTCACAGTGAATTTTAAATTGTTGCCACACTGCTATTTGCCTGACTTTATGCTAAGGCAACTTTAGAACTATATAGATAGTGATAAAAAAAATCTTTCTGAACATCATTTTGTAGCATGAATCTTAAAGAGTCTTATTAATAAAATCAAACCTGAGCCAGGTATTGGGGTGAATGCTGGAAGATCAGAGAAGCAGAACAAGCCACAGCTACCTCGCCTCACCAGTTCCTCAGCTGGTCCTGTTTCCTCAGATTGGAAGCCTCTGAGTCCTCATCCAGAATGAATCTCAGCTGAACTGTGCTGCTCAAAGCCTGAAAGCTTAACCAGCCAAATGCTTCTAGTTTCTGGTCTTCACGCCTTATATATCTTTTTGCTTTCTGCTATCACTCCCTGGGATTAAAGGCTCACTTCTTGGGATTAAAGGTGTGTGTCACCATGCCTGGCTGTTTCTCATGTGGCCTTGAACTCACAGATCCAGAAGGATTTCTACCTCTGGAATGCTAGGATTAAAGGTATGAGTGCCACCATTTTCTAGTCTTTGTATCTAGTGGCTGTTCTGTCTCTGACCCTATATTTTGGGGAACACAATACCACCACATCATTTTGTACTTATCCCTTCAGATCTGATAATACTGCTTTGGGAAATTTATACCCACCCTTTTTTTTTTTCCCCCTAAACAATCTATTGCCATAAGTGAATCTCCCAAGTTAAGCAATTTACTTGTAAGGACTAAAAACTAAAAAGGGTGGGAAGTTCAAGGGTATGAATCACATTTGATGAAGTCCTTCTTGCTAGTGGAGAATCCATAGATCCTTGAGGCAGTATAGGACATCACATGGTAGAAGAAACTGGGCATCCTCAGGGTCTCCTTTCTTTTTCTTCTAAAGCCACACTCCCGTCAGATTAGGGTGCTACCCTTCAGGTACTATTTAATTATTTCCCAGAAGTCCTACTTTCAGATACCGTAGTTGGCTTACATTTCCAACCACTTTATACCTCACAATGAGGATTAAATTTTAATGTGCATTTTTTTGTGGCTACTTGCAAACCATAGTAAATACAGACAGTTGAGAACACAAAAGTGTTCATTACTCAATGCCCAGAAGTTAGGAAATAGTTTAGTAAATTTTGGTTGCATAAAGTAGAATGAATGTTAAACAGTCATTTTATATTTGAGAACATATATCCAACCTGACAAAAATACTTTCTGTAAGGGCAAAGAATTACAAATGCTTCTCAAACTTTGAGGTGTGTCTGAATCATATGTGAGTCTTAGCTAAAAGGCAAATGTCAACTCAGCAGGACATGGGTCTGTCCTGATGTACATTCCTAGCTATTTCCAAGAAGTCTGCTGTTACATTTTGGGTAGCTGTTACATGGAAGCAAGCCAGTCCTCAGGCGGGGGTGACGCACTCCTTTAATCCCAGCACTTGGGAGGCAGAGGTAGATGGATCTCTGTGAGTTCAAGGCCAGCCTGGTCTATGGAGTAAGTTCC